AGTCGAAAGGAACAGTATGAATAGAACTGAATATGGAAAACAACTGAGGATATTTGCCTGTTTTGAACAAAAATTATGTTAGGGACTAATGAGAACAGAAAATAGAATACCTAGACTTTGGTGATACAGAGGGCCTTAAAGGTTAGAGTGAGACTTGATACATTGAAAAAATAGAAAACCATCCAAAAAGTGTGAGGAGTGGGAGTGACATAAAGTGAGGTTTAAGCAAGATTAGCTAAAAATAGGTGTGTAAGGTATTTTAGTGGGAAAAAACTGATATTAAGGAGCTAATTATGAGTTTGTAATGGTATGCTAAGTGCAAGGTGATGACTGTACCTGTGAAGTAGTTGAAATGGGAATAAAGAGGAAATAGGACTCAAAAGAAAAAGTGGGGGACTTTTGATACCTGACTAGATATAAAAAGTGGGGTTTGACTCATAGACTGTCAGCTTTGGTGACTTCTCTTTCCCCATGTATTTAAATGAAAGTAGGAATGTTTTAAAGAATTAATTTTGCCCTTTAGAGAAGCTCTTCTTTCTCCACTCCCTTCCCACCTACATATGTAATTTGAGAAAACTTGATTGTCCTTAGGCAACTGATTAACACCTTTCTTTAATCTTTTTCCAAGCAACATAACTTACCGCCCATTCTGAAATAGCTATTATACATGTTAAAAGATGTTCAGCCTCACTAGTAATTAAAGAAATGCAAATTAAGACAACAAAGTTTGTTTTTATGGTAATATTCAATGCTGTAAAGGTTTAATGAGACACATATTCTTACCCTTTTCTGTTAAATTGGTATAATCTTTCAGGAAAAATTTGATAATATGTAGCAAAACCTTTTAAAATGTTTAAGTAGTTCTACTTATAAGAATTTACAGTAAGGAAATAATCAGAAATGCAAAGAGACTATGTATCCCAAATTGGTAGTTGCAGTATTTCCAGTTTTTTACAATTAATAAATATAAATGTGTGGTAGTAGGAGCAAATGGTTAAATAAATATACATATGATGGAATATTTAAACAGCCTTTAAAAACAATGTTTTAAGGGCCGTCCGAGTGGCGCGTTGGTTTAGAGCTGGCTTGGGACGCCAGCTCTGAGCAGCAGGGCCCACATGAGGGCCAGTGACACTGCCTTCTACGCTAAGATGATGAACAACAGCTCGACCTGGAGCTGGGCTGCCGTGAGTTGCCGGTGACGGCGTAGGCTGCAGCCCCTGCTGCAGTGGGCTGCCATAAGCTATTGTGTGTGGCCAGCAGCCAGTGTGAGCGGCTGGCAGCCGGTTTGAGCTGCCAAGAGCCGCCGTGAGCAGCTGTCCAGAGGCCGGCGATTGATCTGCCTCACCCAGGAAGAGTGCAATGATAATACCAACATGGGCCAGTGAAGCAACGTCCTCCACAACTAGACTGAAGAACAGAAGGACAGCAGCTTGTCTGTTCCCCTTCTCCAATTCCCCAGCGCTGTTTCCCTCTCCCAATTCCCCAATAAAATCTTTAAAAAAATAAAAATGATGTTTTAAGGAATATAGTTTTAGTAATAGAGTAAGTACTTATAATGTTAAATGAATTCCAGTTTTACACACTTCAGTAATATGCTTTTTTATGTTTTACACCCATTATTAGGGCAAAAATGTCTTGTATTCTTTTCAGAAGTTATTTGCCAACCACTACAGATAGATAATAAAACTAATTTTAACCTTCTTGAGCTAAAAATTTCCACAGTGCCTTATATAGTAGTGCTCAGTAAATATTAGCTATTATTATTAAAGATCTCTTTAGAGCTTTCTTCCTAGAAAAGTATACATATATGTATACAACCAAGCATACAACTTTAGATCCTTTATGGACCACATGAAACCCATATGTGGATCCTCTTAACTAGGGCCATGGTGAAGAATCTTTGCTGTGACTGAAGAAATCCCTTTTTACCCTTGAATGTAGCTAAATCAGTTTGTTGTCTAGGGTAAGAGGTGCCAGTTCGCATTTTCACCTGATATTCTTGATATTAAGTCAAAAGAAATGCAGTCTTCATGTAATACTGCCTTTTTAAATGACTGAATAATTTAATACACAATTTCATGGCATCATCTTGACTGGTGATGCTCATATTAATTGGGGCATTGACTCCTAAATAAACATATTTAACTAGGGAGACATCTAGAAATCCATTGTGATGGTTCAGAATTTGCAGCCCTTCTTATCTTTCTTTTTTCCCGCTCTCTAGAGCTTCATATATGACTGTTTGAGATTATTTGTCTCCATCGGGGCCACTACCATCCCTTCCATATCTATGAACTACCCAATAGCAGTAGCATTCAGGGCCCTAGATGTTAGAAAGTGATAGAAGATGAGAATTAGCTAAACTAGTCATGAATTAGAGAACTGGACTGCCAAATTGTGTTCAGTTCCAGGGCCACACTTAAAGGGGCTGTTGAACAAGTCCAGAAGACAGTAACCAGATGGCAAAGGATATGGGTACCACATCATATGAAGAACCATGGTCAGAACTAGGGAGAAGAGAAGACTAAGGTAGGAGAACTGTTTCCAGCTGGCTGCCTTCTTTGCCACTTTAGACAGGCTATGTAGTATAGTATTAAAGAGTTCAGAGTTAGACCTGCATCCAATTCCAGCTCTGCAGCCTTCTGGCCAATATGACCTGAGGCAAGTAACTTAACTTTTGACCTCAGATTCGTTTTTATAAAATAGAAATGATAATAGTACTACCTATAGGATTCTCAGGATTAAATGACAGTGTTTGAAAAGCACTGCCCTAAATCCAGCATGCCTGAAGTGCTCATTCAATAAATGTATATAGCATTAAAGATGGTGATTCCCATCAGGCCAAAATTGGAAAACTGAGTTAATGTTAAAAAGAGGCCGATTCTGGCTCAGCATGAGGAAGAAATGCTGTCCCTGAATATGTTCAAGCAAAGACTGAACCACTGTCATATCAGAGATGCATCGATGGTTCTGTCAATTAGGAATAGGTCATTGTCTAAGTTCCCTTTCCACTGTAAAAGTCATATTTTATAAGGCATACCCACATGAGAACTATGTTTTAGTAACATGGTTGTTTATGTTGCAGAATTAAGTCCAAAGGAGTTGGACTATGAAATACCTTAGTTTAACATAATGAGAATTTTATTGGCTTCTTTAGTTGTACCATTTACAAGTTAAGAGAACTTGCTAAGGATCACTGGTGTGAGTGATATTATTAGAATTAAATGTGAGTCATGGAGGCTTCCAGTGTTCTGTCATTGGAAGGAAGCTAAGTAGATGTTAGGTATTAATTAGCACCTTGGGAAAATTTAATTAGCTTTAAGAATACAATGAAAAAGGCCAGTTTTTTTTTCAAATGCATCACAGATATTATTTAAGTTCCACCTAAAACAATTTGAAATGACTCTTAATAGTATTTTTGTTTTTCTAAAGTTTTTATTCTGCCTCCTTCTAGAAATAATCTGAAGCATCAGCTTAGAACATTATACTAGATAGGCGAGGAAAGAAAAAAAGAGCTAAAAGACTTTCCCACATCAGTTCAGAGAGCCAAGTAATAGATCTTCATGTTAACCGCTGTTGCCCAAAGGCAAATTATGCAGAAAAAGAACCTTTGTATGTAGGAACACAAAGTGGTATAGTGAAAAAGAAGAGTACCTTTATTTAGAGGCAGAAAACCTAGGTTTATTTCCTTGTGCTGCTGTTGACCTGCTTTGTATCTCCACAATTCATTTAACTTTGGAAGACTCATTTACCTCAGCTGTAAATCAGTAAACGTAATCTTGCTTGTTTTCCTCACATGGATGTTACAATAGTTAAATGACCTAGTTTCTTTGTGAAAGAACTTTATAACCTATAAAATATTCAAATTTTAATCATTATTTGTGACATGAAATAGCATTATGAACCAACACAAGAAATATTTTATGTTTAAGAAGGAAATCATGAGCTTACTTAAAAACAACCGAAGATTTGAGGAGTAAGGGATGTGGAGACAGATGACGTTTCCTTCAGCATCTTCTTGTTTTCCTTCTACAGTTACTTTAATACAATAAAAAATACATAGTCCCCTTGGGGTTCCTTTACCCTAGCAAGAATTCCACATAAGGAAGTCTTTTAAGAGAAAGGTAAAATATTTTCATTAGTAGTCCTTCCCAGTCTACATTTGGCATCCCAGACAGTAGCTAACTTTAAGAGTATTTTGCTTCCAGATAAGTCACACTCTATTTAAAATTATATATAAGCTCCTTAGAAATCATACTTTTTTAGAAACAATTTTTAAAAATTTAAACACACAGAAAAGTTGAAACAATAGAACAATAAACACCACTTTTATTCCCTCATCTAGAGTTACCAACTGTCAATCTTTTACCATACCTTCTTCTTTATTTGCTTACACACACATACACACACCCTTTTTCCAGATCATCCAAAAGTAGGCCACAGCCTCAGAAATGTGCTACTTTAATGATCTTTTTATCTGCTGTTCAAATGCAGTAGAGCAACAGGATTGTTGTAAAGTTTATGATATAATTGGTGCCAACTGTTAGTGCTTACTATCTGAAGTCTTGGGTACATTATATTGGAGGTAGAGAGCTCAAATTAAAGTTATTTTAGTAATCCCTGTGCGATGTCTCTGAAGCTTCCAAGATCTGTGTGGTCGGACAAGGAATATTTGACTACTTTCTGGTGAATTTAAGACCCTAAAAACTAATGGCAATGTTATTCTTGAGTAAAAATAAAGTAGTTAAAATACTTCATTTTTTTAAAAATGGCTTTGTTTTTCTATAACATGCTGAAATAGTCAAGTTTAATATTTTAAGCACTTTGGGAAAAGGAAAAACTATTTTTAATGGAATATTGTTGCAATTCTAATATTTCATTGGTTAGAAGGTTTATTGTTATGAATTGATGCTATCTGATATGAAATATACCCATTGTAATCGCTTAGTCTAGGTATGACTACAATAATAAAAGCTATTTCTTTCCCTTTTTTCCAGGAGATTTTGACGAGTTCACTCATGATAATGATGACGCTATATTGAAAAACATAGCAGAAGATCTTCGGAATTGCTTACCGCTAGAAACCATGCTATCCTCAGAACATCTAGCCCTTCAAAAAGTAAATGCATTATATTAAATTATTCTCTGATTCTTCCCTAACCCCGCAGCTTCTCCAGTCGAATTAGTCCTGAATTGTGCTTTAAACAATTTTTGATTTAGTGCTTCAACTATGTCCCCAATTCTTCTGAGTCTCTAGCTCCCCAGTAGCATTCATTGAACAAATATTTTTGAGGGTGGCATCGTGTTTGCCAAGCACTCAAACCACCTCCACACCCCTCCAAAAAAAAAGAAAAAAATCAAGTCCCAACAGTAATCTGGTCCTCCCTATATCATTGTCCTGGTTTTCTCTTCCCTGTTTCATTTCCCTCACTTTTATCAGTGGTGAAGTTCACCTCTTTTGTTTCCTTCTACTTTTGCATTGTACAATTTTTGCTTATTCTATTCCTTTATTCCTAGAATTAGCTCTCATTTTTCTTCTCTAGGCAACCCCTTCATTCAGGTCCCTTCAAGTCCCAACCCTTATGGGGTACATATGCTATGAATTTTGTTTCTAAAGCCATGCTAATAATAATAATCTTTTCTTCCACTGATCTGAAAGAGCAACCCTCCATGTGGTTTTTCAGCATGTAAATTCCTGAGCAGAGGAACTAAATCCTGTACATTTTTAACAGTGCTGTGCACATTGTGACCACTTAGCAAATCTCAGTTAGCATCCAGTCATTCAGAGTGGGTTCTCAAAGGAGGAAAATAGTGCCTAGTATTAAACCCGAGACAAGTATCTGTAATATAGTTTGGATGTTACTAACTTTTATCGGTATTATGATATACCACAATACGTAAGTTGAAAAAGTATTCATTGCATGTTAATGGTCGACCCACACTCCCCTGACCTACCTATTTTTATCTTCCTTAGTTTTCTTCTGATCCTGTGTATGTTCACACGTTTTCCATACTTATACTACAGATTGTTTCTCTGTGTGTAGATGTAGATATAATTGGGTAGGTTTCCAAGCAGATAGGTTGATTCTTTATTATAGTTAAGGTAGAAGAAATGAGACTTTTTCTTTGTAACCACTTGCTATTATATCATGTACCACCAGTTTTAATAAAGGGCCATTATTTATAAGCATGAAGTTTTATTAACATTTTTATTATTTGAAAAGTTTGCCTCTGGACAAAAATTACTTGCTATTTTCTTTTTTTTTTTTAAGATTTTATTGGAGAATTGGGGAAGGGGAACAGTGTTGGGGAATTGGGGAAGGGGACCAGCCAACTTGTTGTTCTTCGGTCTTCGTTGTGGAGGGCGCCAGTCGCCACCTGGCTTCCCGTCAGCAGCTCGTGGCCTCTAAGCTCAAGATGCTGTGTTCAATCTTAGTTGCTGGTGGGCATAGCCACCATCCCATGCGGGAGTCGAACCAGCAGCCTTGTTGAAGAAAGAGCACATTCTATCTACTGAGCCATCAGGGCAGCAGCTCAGCTCAAGGTGCTGAGTTCAGCCTTAGTTGTGGGTGGGCATAGCCCACCATCGAACAGGCAATCTTGTTGTTACACCAGCTGAGCCATCCTGCCACCTTTTGGCAGTTCAGCGACAGCTCAGCTCGGGCGCAGCGTCACTGGCCCGTGTGGGAATCAAACCGGTGGCCCTGTTGCTCAGAGCCCGCACTCTTAAGCCATCTCTTAACCAACTGAGCCACTTGGCCGGCCCCACTTGCTAAGTATTTTGGTGGGTAAGTCACTGACATATAGGGCTCAGAAGACCTGGTATTAGTTTCTTCTCTTCCCCCTCTTACCACTTAATGTCATTTCTTTGGAAAAATCTCTGGGGGTATCAGTTTCTTTCGTTGTAAAATATACTGCTTAGGACAGACAAGAAGGTCTCAAAATACTTTCTGCTTAAAGTATTAAAATTTTATATATTTTTCATAGCCATGCTTTGCATCATTACAGATCACATAAAAAGTTGCTAGTGTCTCAAAAATGAAAGAGCAGAGTTGCAGACTTAGAAAAGTGAAACTTGTCTTTCTGTGCCCTGTTGTTGCAGGATTTTAGCATATGAACCACTGATGTTTTGCCTTATTTAGCAATAGAAAGAGACTTCTTTGTACTTTGTTTCTTTTGATGTTTTCCTTCTCTCCACCAGATACAGCAGCGGCCAGAACCCACAATTCAAGTTGATGCATTCCTTTATGATGAAGACTTTATTGATTCATTATGTGAGGAAGGAAAAATGAGCAGAAACTACTGTATGGTGTGCGGCTCACACCAGACGGCACCTTTAGGTATGCACTCAAGTATGCAAACCTGATGACTTTGTACTTTTCTTTGCATGTCATGAGTATGCAAATTCTTGACCAACTCATTCAGTGTTTTCTAAAAGCAAAAAGCCAACCTGCAGCATAGCCACTACCAATTATCGTGGTTAAGGAGATTAAATGGAAATATAGTCTAAGGAAGGTAGGCCACTTAACATCTCATCAGGAGGTTATCTGTGCTTTTCACAGAAACTGTTTAATCAGAGATGACTTTTCAGGTCCAGAAACTAATCCACAGTGACTGAGTACAGGGAAACTGACTCCTCTTTTCCATACTCAAAAGAGATTCATATATAAACCATAATGTTGATTTACTTACAAGAGAAATATAACTGTCAAAGAGGCTGAAACATTCTCTCTATAAAACATCTACTTGAGAAGTCAAATATTAATCAGATATTATTGAATGAACATGGACTCAGAAGACAGAGATAGATAACCTTGAGAGTTTGTTCAGGCCATGATGTGACCTAGTAGAGCATCTCTGGTCCATAACAGAGAACAGCTCTAGTGACAGAAAGTCCCTGGCATCTCTGCCCCTCAGATGTAGCCACTGTGTCCCAAATGGGAAACTAGACTGACTCCATGCTGCTAACATGTTAACTGTTCTGTTAATATATTCTTTGTTCAAACTGGATGTGATTGTCTAGGCTGTTACTTTAGATATGCTATTTCAATCTCCCTGCTCACTTAGATTTAGAGTTATTGCTTAAAGTAAGCTGTCCTCCAGGTAAGTAATCTTGTACTTATAATACTGATCTTAGATAATATCGTTCTCAAAAGTTGACTACTACCAAACTGGTAATATGTTGCTAATGCAGATACTGTCGTACCTATATTATAACTGGGGATTAAACTTGCCTGATTTACTGGTTTAAGATTCTGTTTTTAGATAGTACTTAGAATTTCCATTTAAGGTAATTGAAATTCACAGAATAGGAAAGGACTTAGATAAGAGCAATAGAGGGAAAACTAAAAAGTTAACTATAACACCATATCAGATCTGATTTATAAAAATGTATAGAAGAGCTTTGTTCAACAAATAAAAATTTGAAGATTAGAATGCATTTCCCTATAAAAATCAGGCTGTGAATAATGACTGGGTACCCAGGCCAGCCCAGATAACTATAAGGAATCTGAAAAAGCTATCACATTTGGGACTCTCCTTCCCTATATGACAAGGGGCTTCTCCAGCTACAAGACACTAATAATGACTCTGTAGCCCAGGACAGAAGCACTAATGTGGCAGAAGGGCAGTGAAGATAAAGATCCTGAGGAGGTCAGGACTATGGTGGTCAAAGCCCACCCCTCAAGCATTACTTCTGAGGCCTAGGCATACATACCCTTTATTTTCTCCCAAGGGATTAGCCTGCCTGCTTTCTTTTTCTTTGCCACCATCTAGTAGTTGTGACTGGTGTTTCTCTTCTTCCTGACCATTATATTATATAGAACGTAACGTAGTAAGTCTTTGAACTACCTCCATATCAGAAAAAAATCAGTTTCAGGCTCTCCTAGATATTTCATTACAGAAATAATGGCGTGAGTGGATAGACTAGGAAGCTAGAAATTCTAGCAATTAAACTAAGGGAAATAAGAGCAATTTATGGGAGTTTCTTAACTTCCTCCCACACTACTCCTTTCCCGCACTCCAGAACACATTTTAGGTTGGTCGCAGCTGCCATATTGCACAGCTCCAGAGATGGTCCTTCATTTGGTAGTCTGCAGTCTTTGCAGTAACATGTGGCAGTTCTGTGGTTGGCTCTGGAGTAAGGTAAAACAGCCAGATGATATGAGAGTTAGGAAACAGTGCCAGGAACAACAGGCAATAGGGAAGAGGGAAAGGGAAAAGAAGGAAACGAGGGGCACAGGGATCGCGACAGGCCTCTGGGTAGCTGTTCCCTAGCGGCCTTTTAAATGTCACAGACTTCCATTTATTTTTCTCTAATACAGCTCAGAGCAAATGAGTGCAAAATTATCACATTGATTTTTCTCTAAATCTCTGAATGGCTTTCATTGATTAAGAAAAGAAAAATATGAAATACCTTTTATAAATGATATTTGTAATAGTGAAAGATTTAAAAATACAGAATGGAATTATTAATACCCAAGCAAAATGTGATGTTTACTGTGTTCTAATTCTCCAGGCTTTGTTTCTCATTCCTTCTCTCTCATGGAGTTGAAGTTCATTTATCACCATGTACTCCCTGATCTGTCGGGAAAGGTCCTGGTTGACGTTGGCTCCAGGCTTGGCACAGTCCTTTATGGGGTAAAGTCCAGCTTTGAGTGGACATACTCAACATTTAAAAAATACTTACTTCTGCTAGCAATAGCTTTGCCTGCCACCATCCAAGTTGACAGCTTAGCTTTATTTAATTATTAGAGTAACAGAATAATAAGTTTAAAATAGTCTATTGAATTTGGAATTTCAAAGGCTAGTTCTCTGATTTCCTTTATTAGTTTGTCTCTGTGACATGGATGAAGGAATATCAACAAAATAGAAGCAGGTAACCCTAATAATACTTAGTTATTTTGTCTGTCACTGCTGTTCTTGTAACTCTATTTTCTTTGTACTGTACTAAAATAGTATTCCGAGCTTTGATAAGAGCTCTTATAAAACTGACAAATTTACTTGACCTAGGAAATTGGTATGGCCATAAGCAAGTCACTTAACACCTATGGGCCTCAAGTTCATCCCATGTAAGTGAGCAAACTAAATGATATCCAAAGACACATCTTGCTGCAATTTTCTGTGATCCAAACTTTGAATGTAGACTGAAATATCACTTCAATGTGGCTTTTAAAAAAAAAAAATTTAAATCATGAGTATTTTTAATGTTCTTAAATGGCTTTATCAAAAAACTGAAATGTGGTTTCTGGTTGTCATTAGCAGACTTGTTAAAACATGTGGCCAACAGCAGGGGAGGCTCATGCCAGAAACAGGCGCTATCAGCTCCTAGCATCATTGCCTGCCCTAAACAGAAACAGTTAACTCTTTAATGCTTCATTTATTTTTCAGTATTAAGACTTTCCTTCTGTCATAAGGAAAGATGGCCATAATAGAAAATACACAGTTTAGTTTGTCAGATGGTTTTTGTTGGGAGAACATTAGAGATTATGATTGTTTACCATATTCTGTCTATTCTTCCCTATTTTTTTCATTTCTTAGAAAAGTATATAACTGAAATAATTGTGGCTATGCAGGTGAGTGGCAGCATTAGTAAATGTAAACATTATTTTTCTTCATATTAGGACACTGATTCAGTCAAAATTTTTTGAATACCTGCATATGCTCTGTTGAACATATTCTAAAAATTCATGATGAGCTATAAATATAAATTTGGTTTACACATAGGTATCAGTTGTTGTAAAATGATATTCAGAATATGATTTGACCTTTCCTTCCAGATATCTTTTTGTTATCACAACCAAAATAGATATATAACAATATATACTCAATTCTTGATTATCCTTGTTAACTAACTGGTCCGTTATCTTTGGCAGATTGTCAGACACCAGGCTCACTCCAGACACCTTCAAACTCCATTTTCTAATTCCCTAAGCCAAACAGGACACACTTTAGGCTACTTTCCTCTAGTGTTAGTATATGCATGATTTTCCATTATGTTCTCCACAGGTTTACTCCTTTCTTGCTTTCCCCTGATGTAACTTCCCAAGAAATTACAAAAATAGAGTATTACACAGAGAATCTGTATGGCAATCACTTTTCTCATTTCTACTTTTGCTGAATGCATAGTTTTATCAGGAAAAGTAAGAAATCAATCTTTAAAAATATTTACTTTTAAGTAATGGAACTTAACTAAATCATTGTTAGAGAATAAATAAATCTAAGTGAGGAAAAAAATGAAGTACAATCAAGGTTTTGATCAGTAAGAGTCTTTAAATTCCTAAAGTTGTAAGTTTCACATAAACTGCAAGATGTTATTTATCTTTTATGTTTACTTTATTGAATTCTATCTTTTTTAAAGCTGGACTTTTTAAATTTCAAGTAGAAGTAAACCCACAATGAAAAGTCAGTTCATTTGCATCATAATGTATTTTCATATTTTAGGGTTATCTTTACAGTTCAGCATTGCAATTATATGGAGTAGAATTGAATGGAGAGTTTTGCCAGTTGCAGGAAATGATTATAAAAAAATACCAGTTCACTGACAGAATAAAGGTACCCTTTTGAATATATATTTTGTTATATATATTTTGTATAGCATAATTTTGCCAAATTTCTTCTGCATTGGTGTTGGGAAATCTTTTTAAATCTATTCTTGGTTGCTGTTGTGTAGAAACAGATTGGGTTGACTTAATATTTTAAAATATTAATAAAGGTGAATTATTAACATTATATTTCACTCACATATTTTTCTTCTCCAATTTATTAGAAAGTAGCTTTTTTTCTTTTCTTTTTTTTTAATTTTATTTTATTGGGGAACAACCATGGTCATTGGTTACACATTGCTTTCATGCTACAATGGCATAGTTGACTCTTTTAAGAAGGGCACAGCCCACAGTGGCCCATGCGGGTATCGAACTGGCAACCTTGGTGTTAATCAGCACCATGCTCTAACCAACTGAGCTAACCAATCGCGCCAGTAGCTTTTTTTCTTAATTCTCATCGTATCAGCTATAGTTTTGGTAGTGGCATTTCTGAATCTCTAGATGTTGGTCAGACTGATTCTTCAAAGTAAGCAAAAAGGTTAAGTAACGCTCACAGTTCTTTTTTTTTTTCTGTTTTCTAAGCTTTCAGGGGGACTTGTGGATGCCACAGAATAGCAGTTCATGCGAGAATAATGCCTTAGGTTGGGCTCCAACAGAAGTGTTCCCTTTTTCCTATACGTAAAGGGAAAATTAACAAAAAGGGAAAGGAAGTTTTTTGGTTAATGCAGCAATCCTCATTTCACTAATGATCCTACACTTCTGATGGCAATGCAGAGAAATATTGAGTATCTGAGTGAGGATCTCTGGTGCTAAGGGCAATCTAATGTTGAAAGAGACATCTCAGTAAGGTTAAGGATCTAGCCTTCCCCTCTTAGGTAGCAGGAAATTGTTTTATTGCCTCCCTCCTTCTACCCTTCCTTCTCTTTCTCTTATCGTAGAAATAGAGAAGCAAATGATCAACTCGAATTCATTGTCCAATAATAAATTCATAGATTTTTCTCACTATCCCATGTTTAGTGAATAAAAACATGCTATTTTTGCTTAATAAAATTCATAACTAACAGGACTATTGATTTAATTGGAAATGAGATCTTATTATACATAGTTTACAAATGGACAACCAAGTACTTTTTTGTTATTTTTTTGTAAAGAAGATGTTAAAGGTGTATAAAATATATATTTATTTACATTTTAAAAGATTTTTACCCCTTGCTTTTCAAAGACGTATATGTGGATGCACCCCCACTACATACTTTCCCAGCTGTGGCTTCTGTGGCCATCAGCAACCCAATGGTAGAAAGCTGGTTTTTGGGGTTTTTTTAGCTGGGCCATCCTGCCACCTGCTGGCAACTCAGGAGCAGCTCAGCTCAGGCCCATGTGGGAATTGAACCGGCGACCCTGTTGCTCAGAGCTCACACTCTTGAGTGAGCTCTTAACCAACTGAACCATTTGGCCGGCCCTAAAAGCAGTTTTTTTGGGGTTTTGGTTTTTTTTTAAGATTTTTATTGGGGAATTGAGGGAATGGGAACAGTGCTGGGGAATTGGGGAAAGGGGAACAGACAAGTTGCTGTCGTTTTGTTCTTCAGTCTGCTTCTGGACGGCCGCTCACTGTGACTGCTGGCCGCTCACGCTGGCTGCTGGCTACATACGGTAGCCCATGGCAACCCACTGCTACAAGGGCTGCAGCCTATGCTGTCGCCGGCGACTCACGGCAGCCCAGCTCCAGGTTGAGCTGTTGTTCAGCATCTTAGCTGTGAAGGGCAGTGTCACTGGCCCTCATATGTGGGATCCGAACTGGGGCCTTCTGGCATCCCAAGCCAGTTCTTAACCATCGCGCCACTCGGCTGGCCCCTAAAAGCTGTTTTTATACCACCTTCTTGGCAACCTTAACAGTTCTTTTCCTTCCTTGAGGCTAAAGACAAATATGGGATTTGAGAGGTCCTAAAATAAACAGAGAGAAATTCTAGGATTATTTTTGACAGTATCGGTTGAAATCAGCTAGCTAGCAAGGCTCTCAGTCTTTGCTTTTTTCTTTTGTTTTTGTTCTTGTTTGGTGTTTTTTACAGCTTTCCTCAGAAGTCTAGGAACCCTTGGTTGTCTTTTCATACTTAAGAGTGAGAAACAAAAAAGCTGATTTCAGTTCTGAGCACTTGAGTGGGGATACTGAGCACTGTGGGCTTCACTGTGACCTTGTTTGGGTAGCTAATTAGTTGGGGAATAGCTGATGAAGTATCTTAAAATCTTTCCTCTCTGACTAGTCTGATTGCCCAGAGAAGACCTTACCAATCTCCTCACTGAATGGCAAGCAACATCCTGGGAACTGAGTGGTAGCAGAAATGGACTGGAGAGGTGGGGGGTTCTCAGCATCCTATCTACATATTTCCTTAATTCCGTTGTTTGCAGTATATTTCAACTAGATCTTTCCCTTCAACTAGATCTGGTATCTCCTGACCCGGAGACCGCCTTTACCTTTTCCAGAAAATAAACCTCTATCCCTTTGCTGGCAAAGCAGAAAGGTATATAAGGATCTGGCTGCTTCTTAAACAAGTTTTCAACCAAATTACCTTATCTTTAGCGTTTCTTCCTACTCCTTCACTCAGAGATAACTGGTACCACTAATTATGAGCCTTTAGGAGATTCTATAGTGTAAATCACATTTGAGTCTCAGATTTCTGTATTTCTAGCTTAGAAATCAATTTTCTCAAGTCTCCTAAATTCTTTATTACTTCCCCTCTTTTTTTCTAACTTACAGATTTTAGATATGTTATCTCCGCTTCCATTCTCTCCATCCTTGTGAGTGTGTACCTTATTGTTTAAAAACCCAATACTGTTATTATAATGGGGTTTCAGGAAAATACAAGAGTACATACATGTGTCATGTCTACTGTCTTTACATGGAAGACCCATTGATTTAAGTTCTTTATTCCCTTTCCTCCAGACTACAAGTAAACTTTCCTTCATTCATATCTTGCTTATTTCCTTTTATGGCACTTATATGGAGTTACCAGTATAGCTGCTTCATCCCATTACTAGATTATAATGTATTTGAGAGCAGACATTTTATCTCATTCATCATGGTATATCTCCCTTCACAGTCTCTAGTATATAGGAGGTGCCTGTTAAAAATTGGTTAAATTGAAGGGCCGGCCGAGTGGCTCAGTTGGTTAAGAGCTCGCTCAAGAGTTTGAGCTCTGAGCAACAGCGGTTCGAGTCCAGCCCAAGCTGAGCTGCCAGCAGGTAGCAGGATGGCTCAGCTAAAAAAAAAAAAATTGGTTAAATTGATTTCGGTTGCCTTGTGGCTATTGCATTGGTAGCATTCCAGTTTTTTCAGGGACTTCGCTTGGGTTTTCCCCGGGTCTCCTAGAGCACTTCTGTTGGTTGCCATAATTAATGGATCTACCTGATTCGTTTTTTACCCTCCATGTGGGGTAGGGGCTGGGGGAGTGAACAGAGATGAGAAAGAAAAAGAAGGAACTGTGTGAGAGCTATGCTTTAGCAGTAGGCTAATTTACATACCTATTTCATATCTAAGCTCCATGTTTAGAAAGTTTCAAGTGATTAACTTTTTTGTGTGTTTAGGAACATGTCAAAGCTGTGCTTCGGAGACTCCAGGCCAGCTTAATTGAAATTATTTTAGTATTTTTATTACTTAAAAAAAGGGAAGAAAATAATTTTAAAAATCAGACCCCACAACATTCTGGATATTATATGTGTAAGACCAAGTGTTTATTTGGAAAACAATCACGTGATACAAAGTAGTTAAACTTTTCCTTTTCTTTTAAAAATAAGCTGTTTTCTTTGCTCTTGAGCAAATGTTTCCTCTTATTCTCTTGCCTGTAGTAAGACTTGTTGATTGTGGTCTAAGTTAATTTTTTGAGGTATATGTTTTTGAAATAAAATGGTTTTGTTTGCTTTTTTGGATAGATAATATATTCCAGTGAATTTTAGATGAAGAGTCGGACAAGGTCAATTAACATTGTATTAACATTTTATAATTTATAAATTACTTTTATAGTTTTTATATGGTCCCACTTGATCTGTGAATCAGGAAAGATATTATTCTGTTTTATTTATGAGGACACTAACTAAGTGTACAAACCTAGTAGATGATGGAGCCAGAATTTGATGACTCTTAGAACTGGTGATATAGTTATACACTAGTCTCCCCTTATCTGTGGGGATATAGTCCAAGACCCACAGTGGATGCCTGAAATCATGGATATTACCAAACCCTATATATACTGTTTATTCCTATACACACATACCTATGATAAAGTGTAATTTATAAATTAGGCACAGTAAGAGATTAACAATAATTAATAATAAAATAGAACAATTAGAATATACTGTAGTAAAAGTTATGTGAATGTGGTCTCTCTCTACAGTAATTTTTATATTTTTCAGTGCAACCCTATCCCTGAATCTGTACCATCCCTTACTCACAGTGAATGGCCAGTGTCACTCATTTCAGGGGATCCTTTGCTGAAGTCTTTGTATAGACTCAGTGCTTTCAGGTGTAGCACGTTGCTGTCGATGGAAACACATTTTCTGCTCATGTCTTCCACTCACAAATTTAATGCATTTTCCCTCTAAGCACTTACCATGTACTGTGGCCATAACTTTTGCAGTTTGAGATGCGACAGCAAAACTAGCATGAATTTCTTTTTCCATCTTCACAATTTCGTAGGAAGAAGATTCGTTCTTACCATAGATCTTAGCAACCTCAACACATGATTTTTTTCTTTGCTTATTAAGTCTAGAACTTGCACCTTTTTATTTAAAGGAAGCATCTTACAGCTTCTCTTTGGCACATCTGAATTGCCAGCATCACTACTTTTGTGCTTTGGGGCCTTTGTTAAGTAAAATAAGGGTTATGTGAGCACAAGCACTGTGATACCTGGACAGTCCATTTGATAACCAGGACGGCTACTAAGTGACTCGTGCAGGGAATGTATACAGCGTGGCTACGCTGGACAAAGGGATGATTCACGTCCAGGAGGACTAGAGCAGGACAGTGTGAGATTGCATCATGCTACTCAGCACAGTGCACAATTTAAAACTTATTATGAATTATTTATTTCTGGGATTTTTCATTTAATATTTTCAGACCATGATAACTGAAACTGCAGAAAGCAAAACCACGGATAGAGGGAGACTACTGTAGTGGACAAAGCTCTGAACTGGGAGTCAAAACAGTGTAATTATTACTATTTTAAAAATTCCATCTAAAGCAAATAAACTAATTTTCACACATTTGTGGTTTTTATTAGATATTTATCTCCTATAGGTGGTAATATTAAATGTACTGTTCTTTCTCCCATTTTAAGAAGGGTTAACTTCTCATATTACCTCACAACATTATTGAACCAACAGATATTTCTTCTGTGATTGTGTGGTATGTTACTTTTGTTCTCTTAACATCTTTGAACTCATTCTTCTTTAGGTGCTTCATGCAGACATCTGTACCCAAGGTTCACTTCTGCAAAATGCTGACATTGTTATAATGAATAATGTCTTCGAATATTTTCTTGATGAGACAGAACAGGCCAGGTATGTTATATATTCAAGCAAGAAATCTGTTATTTATCCAGAAAAATATGAAAAAGGATTGGTAAAGTAGAAATGTTTTCACATTAAACTTTTTTTAAATGATCTCAACTGTGAGGAGATTATATTAAAAAAGAAATGTGTTCTGGATAAAACAAAAATAAAAATAAACTGTCTAACTTTGTAAAATATTACATCTAATTTTAGGCAGATGTAAAATGATATCATGACCCAAGCATTTGCTTAGCAGTCAGGGATGATTTAATGTATCAGTTCCTAGTGGGCCTTTATACTTATTTTTTTCTTTGAGAAAATATGTCACGTGCTGTCCTATCACAAAATGATGGGAATTAACTAATGCCTATAAATGAATATAAAATAAGATATAAGAATATTAACCAATATGTGATTAATTATCAAACATTAAAAATATTCTAAAGGGGTAATATATAGTAGATTTCTGGACTTTATTCCACTATTCACGTAATGGAAAAATTAGCAAATCTGCAATCACTCTTCTGACTTTTCTGCCACAATTTAATGTAACCCATAAGGACCTATAGTTTCCTCTAGTTAGAAAATTCCTGTAGTCCGTAGTCTGAGACGCTGATTTTCTGGCTAGTTAGGCTTGCTGACTTCTTATTTAGCATAAGGGCATATGTATACTTTGCTCCTTTCCATATATATGAAAGGCAATTACAGAAGTGTTTAAATGAGTACGTTAATAAGGTTTCTACCTCAGAGAAATAAAACTGCATGTAGTTACACCCCATAAGCAGTTAATGCTGAGTGGAATCCTGAATGGCTAAACCTCTTCTTTATCCTGCTACCCCTTCACCTTCTATATTCTCCCCCAACCATCTCTCTCTCCCTCTCTCTCCGTCTCTCCCTCTCCCTCTCCCTCTCTCCTTCCCTCCTTCTCTCTCCCTCCCTCTCCCTCTCAACCCCCTCCCCCACAAACACACCCACCCATCCCATTACTAGGTTAAGGTCACTACTAAATTAATAATTTAAATAGTTTAAAAAGAAACTAGTTCAACAGAAAGCTAATCATATAGTCAAAGCTCAGCTAGAATGAGTGATGATTTTTGGTCTCCAGCTGAAGACCAGAAACACAGCATGAGCTAAGTTGTTTTAATCACAGTGCCTACTTTAAGCTTAATTTCCAGTGGACAAAGTATGATTAGCTTTTTACCTTTTTAAATTAATGACCAGTAGCCAAAACATACATAATTGTTGAAGAATGAAATAGGACCAGGTTTATGTTATATAAGAAGTTTAAAAGCACCTTATAAACTTGGAGATTTATTATAGAAAGACTTAGAATGCTGAAGAATGATGAAAGCTACTGGTGAACTTGATTCTGAAAATACTGCATGTTTAGATTGTTTTAACAACCTTCTTGGTACATTTATTCACAAACTCTACATGATTCACTAAATAGGTACTGGCCACCTATGTTAGTACAGTCATTTCTCCTAAATTAGTCTAGCGCAATGAATTCTAAATATAGATAGGTTATAGCCTCTCATGAGTAATTATCTCCATCATGAATGATAGTACACAGGCTATCATTCATATCTTCTAGAAGCTAGAAGATATGGTAAAGCATCCTGACATTAGAATTGTTCTAACAAAACTGATTGTTGACCTGTATAATTATATATAGTATAAGTAAAAGAGACTAGGTAGAACAGCATATAGCCTCCAAAGATTTGTAATCTTAATCAGAACCTGAGGACAACTAGAGTGCTACTGCTATAGGAGTTAGTATATGAGAGAAAACAGAAATATATCATAATAGAAAATGTGTACTCAGGAAAATCTCAGGCTTCAGAATAAGTTACCTTTCATTACAGGGTACCACCCAGGTTCTAGAGTAATTGTTAGTTTAAAAGCTGCCTCTATGTAGTTTTTCAGTATGTGAAACATGCAAAATGAGAGCTTACCAGAACCAGCAAGTGCTATTTTGAGAGCCATACCCAACCATGCCAATGTACTCAGCTTCTTCATTCTTCTTCAACTTGTAACATGTGTCATTTTTAAAGAACCACATCAAAACAACATACAATTCTAGCCCAAACACTGTGACATGTATTATCAAACACTGCTACATGATTTCAGATCTAGCCCGCGAAAAACAACATTCGTATCATTTTGTCTAATGAACTGCAGAATGTACTAAACTCCATAACCATTGCTAAAACTAAAATAAATGCAAATGACACTGCTGCCCATCTGCCCTACTGCAAGGGCGTGCACACCCCTGCTTTGCTTGACTATTGCTCCCCAATAGTGGGGTGTATGTCAAGATTCAGTATAGAAACCCAGTTCATATCTACACTAAAGGTTAATCAGAACCCATCAGACACTGCCCTCTCCAACACGTACACATGGCATTCCATTGTGCTTTAAACTTGGCTGGTCTCACCAAACTCAAGTGCTCCAGAAGTCTTGCCATTGAATATTTCTGACAGACAAATAAAGTATGATTTCACTCTTGGTGTTATTTTAAAAGATCTAATCTAGCTATTATACTCTTACTGTTAGTCTTTGCTTGGTTTCTGGCTTCTATGGCCTTTCTCCATGACTCTTCCCCACCTCTACCCCTTAGCCCCTTACCCTGTTCCATTCTGCAGATCCAATTTTGACACATTTCATAAAAAATTTAAGGGGCTTTAACTTCGGATCCAGTTTTGACTTCTATATCAGTTCTGAAACTGAGTTCTGGCCTAACTCATAATACCTTGTAGTAACCCGAATCACCATTTTGTTCAAATCTCTTCAGTAAGTGTAACTTAACAATTTTGCCAACGCCCCTTCAGTAACTGAAGAATTTACCAATTTCTAATATGTCACTGGAGTCCTATTTCCTGCAGGCAAACATTTTTGCCCACCTGGATTTCTAGGTACCCCCTGTGCTGCATTTTCTTTTGTCATCCTCATTTTTTTTAAATTTCCAGTGTCTCATAAAACCTAACAAAATTTGTATGTGTTGTAGAGCCTGGGAATACATCAGCCATAATGTAAGGAAACAAGGATCGTTATTGGTGACAGTACCAAGTCTTGAAGAGTCTTTCTCAGGTCTTCAGGTACGTAAGTTTCTTTCCCAGCATTTTCCTTGTCAAAACTTTTCTCCTACATTTTTCTGATAGCTGTTAGAATGTTCTAGAAATGTTCTGTCTGAATATAATGACAGATGATAGAGAATAGCAAGACCTTATGGCTTAAGAACTGGTTTGTGTTTTGTTAACTGGCCTCAAGAGCTCTGAAATTGTAATTCTTATCTTGATATATATGCCTTTGTTTCTCCAACCAATTTTTCCAACTATGGAGTTATAGTTTTAGGTTAACAAATGCTATTAAAAGTTTGTAAGAGGCTTTGAACACCCACATCATAACTTTTCCCCTTAGAACAAAGGGAACAGATTTATTCTAGGTTCTAGAATCAAATAAGTAGACTGGAAGCCCACATACTATGTACAGGTGAGCTTCTAGGCCAGTTTGGAATCTCACACAGTTCACTTCTTTGTTCCTCAGATTCTTTATATAAAATAAGGCTGATATTTAATACGATTCAGCCCAATAAATTGATCCTTATGTAAAGGTTAATTAGTATTTGTAAAGCTCTTTGAGGTCCAGATGAAAGATACTGTTACATTTCTTAATAGAGTATTATTATCATTTTCTTTAGTAGTGCTAGTGGATTTGAAAGAGTGAGATTAATACTATAAAGTAAAATAAATGTTATATTGTGGAAACTTAAAAAAAATACCTTTAAAATATGTGGTCTCCAATTTATAATTTCTATATATATTGAAATAATTTAGTAATTTTTTTTTTACTTACCAAAACAACTTTCACACTAAATACATAAATCTATCTAAATAACCATTTGAAATTAATATTTATGAAAGAGTCCTTATACACAACAAATTCTTGAATGACTTTATTGCTGTCCTATTTAACAAAACTTCTTTAACCAGATATATAGCCATTGGTGGCTCCAGAGTGTCTGTGTCATGGAGACTGAGGTTTGAAGTGTGAAGGGAAAGGCTTAATGAAGGTTATGAAGGGAGATTAGCCCCACTCATGCACCCCGCAGCGCCATCGCTCTGTGTAAATGAGCAGTTTTCTGTGTTCTCTGTGTATTCCTATAGTTGTTTAGTCTTTTATTGTTTAAGCCTAAAGATAATTATTAAACTATTTACATTAAAACAGTTATTCTGTGTTTTCTTTCAAATTCCAAGCTCAGAGTAAGCTAATTAAGTCCCTGAATCTACAGACCATTTAGTATGACAAGTACCTTGTAGTATGACAAAGAATTTTTCATGTGGCACCATGTAGAACTTAATACTGCTCATTGTGATAAAAATCTGTTGTGTTCAGTCACTTAGTTAGTCATGACTTCTTCCAGAGAATAGGATCGTTCTGCAATTTTCATGTTTGTTTATAATCTTTTTTTTTCCAGGTCAATATACAGTTATCTCCCTGGGTTGAACAGATACCACTGAACTATGATATATACCCAGAAAAGGATATTGACAGGGAAGCTCTTGAACAAATACATTTATATAAGATTCTCTAGCACTAAAATAGTCCTACCTCAGTGTTATGTTTTGTTGAATATATTACAAAATAATGAAGAAGAAAAAAAACACAACCCCAGTATTCAAACATATTTTTTCTGTATATTCCTTTCTAGCCTTTCTACATGTTTACATATTTATAAATAGTTGCATATGTGTATATCCATAGTTGTATATACAACTTTGATTTGTGTGATAATTTAATTAAAATATTTAAAAATTTGTGGTTCCCCTGGTTTCTTTTATTCTGTTAAATATATAAATGTATATATACACATACACACATATATAGAGGGTGCCAAAAAAATGTATACACATTTTAAGAAAGGAAAAGTTATTAAAATTGTAATACTTAATATATACCAATAACAAAAGATGAAGTCAAGTTTGACTTCTGCAATTACAAGAAGTGCTCAAAGTGGTTTCCATCGGCGTCCAGACACTTCTAATTATGGTGAACTACTTGAGCATAGATAACAGCTCTTAAAATGTGTATACATTTTTTTGGCATCCCTGTATATTCCAGATATGACAAAAAAAAAAGACCAGAAGTAGCTTCTTTCAAGACAGAAGTGTGAAGGGGAAGGTAAGTTACATTGTATCCTAATTATTAGTTCTCTATTCTGTAAGACTCCTTGTACACAGCTTTATCTGAAGAGGCTAGCACAGGACTAAAATAAAAAATGATTAGCCAGCTTGTGAAGCATTACCCTGGGGCATTCGGAGCTCCTGGATGGCCAGCCCTGCCCTGCAAGCTGCAGAAAGCCTTTCCAGCTGCAGATGGCCAGTGGGGGCTTGTGCAGCTGTCTGCGACACTTCATGAAGGGCAGTCAGCTCTGGCTAGTGCTGCAGCCTTGGGTGGCTCAGGGATTGGCAGGCAGAGGTGAGCAGCGGCTGGCCATGGTGCTCTCTGGGCATATTGGGTAGTGATAACAGGCTCCACACCAGCACAAGAACTGAATCTGCGATAACTTTATGAACTCCACTGCTGGTACCCCGTGCTGCCCACTCCGCACAGCATCACCACTGGGGGCACTCTTGGCTCCTGGGTGGCCAGTCCCTCCCTGCAAGATGTGGGAAGCCTTTCCAGCAGTGGACAGGACTGTGGCAGCCAGTGCAGCTGCCTGGGAAACTTTCAATGGTGGGCAGTCAGCCCCAACTTGTGCTGCAGCCTTTCTTGGGCAGCCCTTGGGAATCAGTGGGCCCAAAGTGAGTGGGGGCTGGCCATGGTGTTCTCTGGGCACTTTACAGAGTAGCCACAGTCTCTGCACTCACACAAGAGCTGAATCTGCATTAAGTTTGTGAACACTGCCCCAGTGACTCCCTGGGATCCGGCCCTGCCCAAGGCAGCATTACTGGGGCCACTGTCAGCACCAAGACAGTGCTGGTTAACCATACTAAAACAGAACACCACTCTATTACCCCACAAGCAGCACACACAAAGGATGGTCTCAATAGGTACAACAGCCGACTGGGGCAAATCCCTCTCTGAGGCATCAGCCCCGACTCAGAAGCTCATACACAGTGGGGATAGCCAATTCTCATAGCCAGTTAGCCTGAGAGTCGATCTCATCCATTGATGTGCCAAAAGCAACCAAAGTACAACTACAACAGGAGGGCACATACAACCTGCACAAGGGAAACTCCTGGAACACATGGCACAGATGATCAGGGAGACTGTGCTACTGGACCACACAGGACACCTACTACATAAGGCCACCCAGCAAAGAATGACGAACATTGGAGATCCACCTAATACATAGAAACAAACAGAGAGGCAGCCAAAATGAGAACCCAAATAAAAAAAGAACACTCCAGAAAAAGAACTAAATGAAATGAGGGCAACCAACCTACCAGAGACAGAGTTCAAAACACTGGTTATAAGAATGCTTAAGGAACTTAGAGCTTCACCAAAGGAATAGTAAGCCTAAAGAAGGACATAGAAACAAACAAAAAAAAGAATCAGTCAGAAATAAAGAATACAATAAGTGAAGAATACACTAGAAGGAATCAATAGCAGATTAGATGAAGAGGAACGAATCAGCGATTTAGAAGACAAGGTAGCAGAAAACACCCAATCGGATTAACAAAAACAGAATTTTTTTTTTAATTGGGGGATTAGGGGATGGGAACAGTGCTGGGGAATTGGGGGAAGGGGAATAGACAGGTTGCTGTGCTTTTGTTCTTCAGTCTAGTTGTGGAGGACGTTGCTTTACTGGCCCAAGTTGGCACCATCATTGAGCTTTTCCTGGGCGAGGCAGATCAGTCGCCGGCTTCTGGATGGCCGCTCACAGCGGCTGCTGGCCACTCACACTGGCTGCTGGCTACACACGGTGATAGCCCATGGCAACCCACTGCCACAGGGGCTGCAGCCTACGCTATCGCCAGCAACTCACGGCATCCCAGCTCCAGGTCGAGCTGTTGTTCAGCTCTTAGCTGTAGAGGGCAGTGTCACTGGCCCTCATATGTGGGATCCAAACCAGGGCCCTCTGACGTCCCAAGCCAGCTCTTAACCAGTGCACCACTCGGCTGGCCCCAACAAAGAATTTTTTAAAAATGAAGATAGTTTAAGGGACCTCTGGGGCAACAAGTGTAGCAACATTCACATCATAGGAATACCAGAAGGAGAAGAGAGGGAGCAAGGGATTGAGAATCTATTGGAAGAAATAATGACTGAAAACTTCCCTAACCTGGTGAAAGAAATAGACATACAAGGTCAGGAACTGCAGAGTCCCAAACAAGATGAACCCAAAGAGACCCACACCAAGACACATCGTAATTAAAATGGCAAAGATTAGACAAAAGAGATAATGCTAAAAGCAGCAAGAGAAAGACAACTAGTTACTTACAAGGGAGCTCCCTTAACACTCTCAGCTGATTTCTCAACAGAAACTCTGCAGGCTAGAAAGGATTGGCACAAAATAGTCAAAGTAATGAAAAGCAAGGACCTACAACCAAGACTATGCTACCCAGCAAGCCTATCATTTAAAGTTGAAGGAGAGACAAAGAGCTTTCCAGACTACAAGAAGCTAAAGGAATTCATTACTACTGAACCAGTTTTACGAGAAATGTTAAAGGGACTTCTTTAAGAAGATGGGGTGAGGGGGAGGGAGGACATCAAAAATATGAATAATGAAATGGCAATAACTGTGTACCTATCAATAATCACTTTAAATGTAAGTGGGTTAAATGTTTCAATCAAAAGACATAGGGTAGGGCCAGCTGAGTGGTTCAGTTGGTTAAGAGCTCGCTCAAGAGTGCGAGCTCTGAGCAACAGCAGTTCAATTCCCAGCCCGAGCTGAGCTGCCACTGAGCTGCCAACAGGTGGCAGGATCACTTAGCTTAAAAAAAAAAAAGGCATAGGGTAGCTGAATGGATAAGAAAACAAAACCCATACATATGTTGTCTACAAGAGACCCATCTCGGATTGAAGACACATAGACTGAAAATAAAGGGATGGAAAAAGGCATTGCATGCAAATGGAAATGGAAAAACAAGATAAAGTAGCAATGCTTATATCAGACAAAATAGACTTTAAAATGAGGACTTTAATAAGGGATGAAGAAAGACATTACATAATGATAAATGGATCAATCCAACAAGAGGACATAACCCTAGTAAACATCTATGCACCCCATATAGCACCTAGATATATAAAGCAAAATTGACGTAAAGGGAGAGATTGACAGTAATACAACAATAGTAGGGGACTTTAACACCATATTGACACCAACAGACAGATCTTCCAGACAAAATCAACAAGGAAACAATGGCCTTAAATGACACACTAGGCCAGATGGATTTAATTGATATTCTTAGAGCATTCCACCCCAAAGTAGCAGAATATACATTCTTTTCAAGTGCACATGGAACATTTTCCAAGGTTGACCACATATTAGGCCACAAAACAAGTCTCAGTAAATTCAAGAAAATTGAAGTCATATCAGTTGTTCTCTCCAACCATAGTGTTATGAAACTAGAAATTAATTACAAAACAAAACAAAACAAACAAAAACCCTAAAAATCACACAAACACATGGAGGCTACATAACATGGTACTAAACAATGAATGGGTTAACAATGAGATCAAGGAAGAAATCAAAAGATACTTTGAGATAAATAAAAATGAAAACACAATGACCTAAAATATATGGAACACAATGAAAGCAGTCGTAAGAGAGAAGTTCATAGCAATGCAGGCCTAACTCAAAAAAAAAGCAAGGAAAATCTCAAATAAACAATCTAACTTAACACTTAAAGGAACTGGAAAAGGAATAGTAAACAAAACCCAAAGTGAATAGAAGAAGGGAAATAATAAAAATCAAAGCAGAAATAAACTAAAATCTTAAAAACACACACACACACAAAAGATCAATGAAACCAAGAGATGGTTCTTTGAAAAGATAAGCAAAATTGATGGAATTTTAACCAGACTCATCAAGAAAAAATGAGAGAGGACCCAAATAAATAAACTCAGAAATGAAAGAGAAGTGGCAAGGGACACCACAGAGGAAAACTAAAATTAAGAATATACTATGAGCAGTTATATGTCAACAAATTGGACAACCTGAAAGAAATGGATAAATTCCTAGAGTCATACAATCTTCCGAGACTGAATCAAGAAGAAACAGAAAATGTGAACTGACCAATTACTACTAATAAATCAGTAATTTAAAAACTCCCAACAAACAAAAGTTCTAGACCAGATGGCTTTTTATAGGTAAACTTTACCAAACATTCAAAAAATAATTAACACCTATTTTTCTCACTATTCCAAAAAATTCAAGAAGAGGGAAGGCTCTTAAGCTAATTCTATGAGGCCACCATTACCCTGATTCCAAAACCATATAGAGACATTGCAAAAAAAGAAAACTATAGGCTAATATCCCTGATGAACATAGATACAAAAGTTCTCAACAAAATACTACCAAACCAAATTCAGCGATACATTACAAGATTATGCACCATATCAAGTGGGATTTATTCCTGGTACAAGGTTGGTTCAATAATTACAAGTCAACATGATACACCACATAAACAAAATAAAATACAAAAATCATATGGTTATATCAGTGGATGCAGAAAAAGCATTTGACAAAATCCAGCATCCATTTATGATAAAAACTTGCAGCAAAGTGGGACTAGAGGGAACATACCCAACATAATAAAGGCAATATATGACAAATCCACAGATAACATACTTAA